GAGAACACGAAAGACTTGACTTCTAATTTTTGTTTTAATAGCCCTAACAAACCGGTAAAGTTCATTAAAGTACATAAAGACAAACTCCCTCCAAGTTCTAATAAGAATATCGTCTATAAATTGTCGAGACTGTAATGCAACCTATAGGTGTACAACTTTGCTTCCGCCGTTTTTTTTCCGAAATTCGAGGCTTTATTGTAAAAAACTGGTTATACATTTATGATTCAAAGTATTGTCCATCGCTGGCCACTACTTTCTCCCATCTTTCGGGTAGCGTACGAATCCCGCGTCGAAAAAACTGGTCATCTTTTGAGGCTATCCACGAATCGATCCAATTTTTTACTTCTTCATAAGACCGGAAATGCTGGTCAGCCAGGCCGTGTGCCATTGATCGAAACAAGTGATAGTCAGAGGGAGCAACATCTGGAGAATACGGCGGGTGAGGTAGGACTTCCCATTTCAACGTTTCCAAGTATGTCTTGACCACTTTCGCAACATGGGGTCGAGCATTGTCATGCTGCAAAATCACTTTATCGTCTCTCGTTGTATTGCAGCCGTTTGTCTTTCAATGCTCGGCTTAAACGCATCAATTGCGTTCGATACCGATCGCCTGTGATTGTTTCAGTCGGTTTTAACAGTTCATAATACACTATGCCGAGCTGGTCCCACCAAATACAGAGCATGACCTTGGACGTCAAAATCACCGTTCTTGAAGCGTTGCAACCCCTCACGACACGTTCTTTCACTAATAGCAGCCTCATCATAACTATTTGAGAGCATTCGATGAGCCTCAGCCGCAGATTTCTTCATATTGAAGCAAAAAATTAAAACCTCCCGCAAATGACGAGAATTTGGCTCGTAAACTGACATTTTCAATTGAGAATAACTTTATGATGCAGACACAAATCGACTAATGTTTCTATGGGGTTATGTTGACAGATGCTGAAGTTCATTGTATGACGTCTATGATCTATTTATTTCGACCACCATTTACTGCTAAAGCCATCTATAGGAAAACGGCGGAAGCAAAGTTGTACACCTAAAATATTGAACAAACGGGTCGATTATTGAAAACAAAAGGAGCACAAAAATCAAATTAATAGAAAAACTTCTTGTGAATTTGTCGCTCAGCATAGGTTGAATCATGAATTTAAATGGGACAATGTCGAAATCTTAGACAATAGAAAGGTAATTAAATAAAAGGCTCATCTCTGAAATCTTGAATATTAAATTGCAAACTAATAGTTTAAATCTCCAATTACATACGGAGTTTTTGCACCATTCGTATGTGAACATTCTACAGAAATTTAAATAGTGATTTTGTGTATTTGCCTTTATTTCGTTAATTGTTTTTAAGTTTGACATTATAATAATCATGTGTATTGATTTGTACAGACGTGACTTTCAGATTACAAATTTTGACGGTTTAAGTGTTTGACTTCCATTTGGATATTTTTATCACTTTTAATAATTTTATAACCTTTTATTTATTTTTTATTTTTTTATAAAATAATTTTGAAAAAAAATTTTTGTATTCTTTTATTAAATCGATGATATGCTAGAATAAATGATTGTGATCTATGAAGACAGAGGATGAATTAAAAAAGTACACATATATGTTAATAATTACGCAACTAATTGCTTTACATATTGCTCTTTCAGCTAATCATTTAGCTTAAAAGCAAAGAGACATTTTTGGCAATTCTCAATCTGACAATAGGGATATGCTTCTTTAGTCTCATATTATAGAATATCTCTCTAACATTGCGGACTATTTGTCAAAATATTAATGAGGATTACTTAACCAACATTGCGAACTATATTTATTATAAGACATTGACGAAATTTGTTCACAATTTGCTGAAGATAGTTTGAAGTCTTAGAACATACATACTGGAAAGGGCCATAGGTGACTGTCAATTGCACCAACATCTATCTATTTCCTGAATGTTTTACCATAATGCGCATGCGTCGATTATGAATATTCATATGTACATACGTTCAAACTTCAAAACTGGCAAAACGAGAGCATATAAAATTATTAAAAAATTGGACATTACTGTATTATATGTCTCAAAATATCAACGAAGCAAAATAAAATATCTCTTCATGCGTAAGTAATCTTACTTCGTAAATAATTTTAAGCCAAACTTTAAGAGTATGTATTGATTGAATTAATTTAAATGTGTAAAATAAATATGTAAAATATGTGTGTATTTTAAATATATAGTTATAATCAACAACGACGACAATTAGCTGGGAATATTCATTTCCATCATTTCAAATAACATTTTGATAACTATTCTACATTTTTTCAAATTCGAATTACGCGGTATCATCATGCCCAACCGCACAGCAAACAAGCATTCAGACAAGGACAAATAGTTGTTGGAGACACTTTTATTACGGCCCTTCCAGTATATATGTTCTAAGTTTGAAGCAAATCGAAACGTACAAGGAAATTTTTTTGTATCAACATGGTAGACAATATATTATGTGAATTCGTTATCGAAATTCTTGTTATAATTGCGCATCAATCCACGCTGATTCTCATTGCCTTATATTCTTTCAGTCAATGTACAAAACTTCTTCGAAATAAAAAAATACAGTTGCAAGAATTTTCCCAGCTGACAATCGATGTCGGTGACCTTCATTTTTAACTTCTCGTTCTTCTAAAAATTGTTTGTGCCACGCGTACACCTGAGTTTTCTTAAGGCTTGTCCCCGAACTGTGCCTTAAGCATTCTCAAAAATTTTGAACAGTTTTAATTGTAAGAAACTTGATAATATTTGTTGTGCAACGGATGAGGATACCTCTTGTTTTGGCATCGTGATATTGACTAAAAGAGTGGTAATGTGAAGTCCTCTATGAGGATCTCCTTCAGGTATCTCTACCTGAAGGGTAACGCTTAGAAGTCATACCCCTCTCCGTTCACTTCACGTACAAAAATAATTCCAGTTTATATTTCATCCTCGTATAATTAACTTTGACAATAATACATGCGTATGTTTTTGTTAAATAATGTAGTAATATCATTAATAGTTAATCGTTTAAAATATTTATATACTTTTACATTTAACTTTGCTAATTTCATGCATATAACAACTACTGTTAGTATGCACTGCAATCGCACTCACGAGCGCAACTTCGTCGCGTATTCGTAGCCAATACTCTTTAATCTTAAGAATTTTCACAACGAGAATTCGTCTGGCCTTAAAAGAATGTTATAGAAAAATTGTCTTTACACGACCACTTCTGTATACGGCATGAGATCTCGAAACCGAAAGTTTCCGAGCGCTAGGCACGAATGAGCGTGCTGCTCTTTCCTGAAATTAATTAGAATATTTTTCAAACGATATTCTACTGAACTGCGAAATGTCGACGGCTCTCGTAAACTCAGTTTACGAGACGTTACGACAACTCAGTTCCGGAAATGGCAGAGGGGGCGGTTTGTGGCCGAGAATAGTTTGGAGGAACGAATAGAGCAGTTGCAATAAATGAGACAGTAATTAATAATAGTAAAATGTAACAAATGTATTCTTTGAATTTTCGACTCTCGTTTGTACATGCTCGATAAGTCACGATAATCACGCAACGAGAAGTAAAGGGATGTTTTATTACTATAAACACGGCGTAACATCGTGCTCGTCTGCGGGGGCTTCAAACGGTCGTAGAATTGCGGAATTAATGACGAACACACGGACGCCACAATACAAAATTCCGATACAAGCGAGACAATAATTACGCGACAATACTTAATGGAAATGACCAGGCTATAGCTTAGGCGAAAAGTTACTATCTCGAGAATATCACAACGAGTCGTCATGGGAGGCGGCGCGTTCAAATGCCATTAACGCGAGAAACGCCATAGCAATTTCACGTCTCACATACGAAAACCGATAAGGATAATTACACGCGCTTCCCCGACATGAAAATTGGCGACCTTACAATTCAGTGGCTCGTCTCACCCCGATAATTTTCCTTTAAGTCTTCGGTATGATATCCTGGCTATCCTAGCATTTTACATCCTTCACATGTATCTATGCAGCTTACTCGCACAAGTGCCGGGCGCTAATCCTTCCGGGGGCAAGTAGTGATCGCTATTTCCACAAGGAATTATTTCCTTATCGCGTCTAATTGGCGAATTTGCGTATCTTGCGTCCTAGCACGCAGAATTCGACTTGGCAACAGATTTTCCTTCGGCCGCTTAGGAGGTTCTCTTTGCTATGCGGGAGATGCGATCGCATCTCGGTGACGGAATCCTAGTAATCGTGGTAGAGGCGGTACCTCCGCTTCCGACCTTGGTTCCAACTTCTCAAAGGAGATCCCCACAAGTTTTGTTGGGGTCCCTCGCCGATACTTGGGCGTAGAGTGGCCATCTCTGGCTGCCGCCCTCGTTATCTCTCTGCTTTGCGCTTGTAATATTATGTAATGTTATGGAGCGACAGGTTTTGAAACAAAATAAAAAGTATTAAAATGTGGAGCGATATCACCTGCGTTCTCCTCCTTGTAAGATGCTGTGCGCCCCGGTCAATCCGTTCTCAATCTTTCCTGAATTTCGATCCTGACAGTCTTCTTTCTTTATCATGGAGACCGTTTACCGATGAGATGATGCAAAATTCACAAGGGAGTCGCCAATTATCCTGTAAAACTCGTAGCACGATAGCGCACGAAAGAATGACAAAAATCGATATAGAAAATCTACGATACGCACAAATATACGAAACAAACGCGAAATAAACGAAATAACGCTAAAAAGGTGCGTCAATCTTCTAAAAAGTGAAAGGACACAGTACGCCAGAGTTGCGCTGTTCAATCGGGTCTTACGATGATGGACGGAACACGTCACGTCACAACACTGATCTAGCGTAATACATGTGATCTAATTCGCTATAAGATTTTAGGGGAGGAGAAAGGAGTATTCTAATTACCTTCTAAGTATACTTTTAGTATTCTAAGTATACTTTTTTAAATCAACAAATTAATTAGAAGGTATTTAGTCAGAATGGAACATCCTGTTATTCATGTTTCCTGGAACGATGCAGTTGCCTATTGCAATTGGATAGGAATGAGATTGCCAACTGAAGCAGAATGGGAAGTTGCATGTCGTGGTGGACTCTCTGATAGACTTTATCCTTGGGGAAATAAATTAATGCCAAAGAATCAACATAAGTAAGTTGAACTTATATTTATATAATTTAGAATGTTGTAATTGTGAAGGAAACGAGTTTCCTCATTGAATTCAATGAAATTATAAACTCATTCGATGCGTTTTTGCATGAAATGTACTTATATATATGTAATGAAATGAACAAATCCGATAGAAAAAAAGTATTGCTTTGCAGTGTTGTTCCGCAAACCGAGATATTAAGTTGATGATTTTAGGAAATCTGTCACATCAATACTGCGATATGAGCATGCGCTGTGGTCTTCTTCTGTCATCTTCTTAATTCATGTTCTAACCTCGTGTGCATGCGTTTTAGACATTTTGCTGTTTTAAATATTTATTTGCTTTAAAAACACAAATTCTTTGCTGTAAGAACAAAAATTATATTAAAAAATAATTTGTATTTTTAAAGTAGAGAATTCGTTTTTAAAGCAGAGAATTTGTGTTTAATAAAATTGAAAAATTGTGTCATTAAAGCAGATAGATAAATCACAGGAAATATCTAATTATAACAATAAACTATTCATCAGAGATTTTGAAGAGGAAGAAATTAAATAGTTGTTTTCTTGTTTTAATCGATAGTTTTTCTTAACTTCTTAGTATATTTCTCGGGTTTGATTTTTCGACTCCATTTTTTTAGGAATCATAGTACCAAGAGTACAATTTAGCTTTAAAGCTCTTCGAGCAGCAGAGGCTCGCTTATGTTTTTGCATTTAGTAGTAGTTTGCATTCTTACTCTTTAGAGTTTATTCACATGAGTAGACTTACAGTTTAAAGTTGAATCCGAACGGCGAATGCGTAAAATCGCGTATTTGGGGCGCAGGTGAGATCGAACCCGGAGCCACAGATCATGAGTCACTCGCACTGAGCGGCGAGCCATTCGGCGTCCTAATCAACGAGGGATATAAAAATACTAAATTAGAAAATGCTACAATATTAAGAGAGACACTTGGAAGTAATGAAAGCAATAGTTTTTTTAATTAAATTAAAAAAATTTTTTTATTAAAACTCGAAAACGAGAAAATGACAACAGAGCTTTTTTATTGCTGCTGAAATTCCTTACAAAATAAATATCTATCGAACTTTGAACTACGAATAAAATTGAAGATACAGTGGTTTGAAGATAAATGCTTGTAAAAACGGCAAAAATGGGCATTTTTTTCAATTATTATTCTTCTACATTGTTTTGAGTGAGAGATCAGAGAGTAATAATAAGATTGTTCGCTTTATGTTGTATACATAATCAACATTTACAGCCAATTCTTTTATTAATTCATTTACTGTATCTGTCTCTTGGCAGGAAAAATCCAATTTTTCCAAAAATCCAATGAAAAGAATAAATTTCTGATGTTACTTTTTAAAACAAAACAATTAGCAAGAGAAAAAAGTTATTATCATTATTATGAAATAGTTACATAGCCTTATTACATACAACCTAAATTGTATTACATATAACCTCCGTCTCTCTTACATTGCATCGTTGATGTAAAACAATTTATTTTTATTGTATTACTGTTAAATTTGTTAATTATTAATTTATTATATACATATTATATACATATACATATACAAAACAAAAAAAAACCACTTCAAAAAAGGATGAATTTCATTAAAAAAGTGCTTACTTTGCAACTCGATGATTCTGGAAGTATTAATCGTTTGGAGTTGAATTTAAGTTCATTTTTTCAAGTAAGATACTGCTTTAAATCATTTAACATCACATTTAGTTCTCCGAACACTCAGAACAATGTAGAAAGCAATAACTGCCTATTTTTGTCGTCTTTTTCAAGAAATTTCACTCTTTAAATTACTGTATTCTATTCATAGGTATAGTAAATATTTATTTTTTAGGAAATTTCAGACAAAAAAGCTCTCTTGTCATTTTTCGTCTCTTCTCGTTTTTGAGTTTTAATCGAAAAAAAATTGTTACTTAATTACATCCAAGTGCCTCTCTTAGTGCTGTAGCACTTTCTTAGAGTCTTTTTATACTCAAATTTATACTGTCGATGATTGGCCTTTAACACAAGCGCATGTTAAAGTGTTAAATGCACGCACGCACGCACGCACGCACGCACGCACGCACGCACGCACGCACGCACGCACGCACGCACGCACACATCGCTGAAAACGGTTCATCGAATTTTCTATCGCGCATGATTATATCAAATTAAGAGAGAAAACCTGAGTTGCCAATCGCTCTTGTCGCCCGAATGTCTCCTTAAAATTTCGATTGTTGGCGAATTTTGAATGGCAATTAACTGAAAGAGGCTTCGTGTCGCGGAAGCAATATATACGCTGATCGCCTCCACTCTCACTCTCTTAGTTCTTTGTCTTCAAGAAAACCGTGAGAAATCCGTCGAAAAAAAAGCCGCCGAGAAAATCGTCGTTTTTATTAATTTATTTTATTAATTCGTTCGGGTATTGGGTGATCCTAAAAGAGACAGTTCGTAAATTTTCGTATATTTCGTAAATTTTTACAAAGTGCATGTGATTATGTCAGATAAACTGAGTTATTAGTTTAAAAGAATAAAGATAATCAATTAAACTATGTTCCGGAATCATTGTTATTTCAAAAATGTATTCTCGGGGATGGTAAATAAACAGTTCAGAGACATCGAGCCGTCTTTGTTCAATCACGCTTGCGACATTTTGTTCAAAACGTGAGTGTATTTCACTCCTGTTCTAATCACGTATCTATCTCAGATGGCACACGACCTTCTTTGCGCGACACTCGAGAAGTTGATTATCGTGCGTTCTGCGTGCGAAAGTTCAGTTTGCTTCCCGATCAATCATTGATCGAGATTCTTAACGAATCTTATCCCGAATATTGAGTGCGAACCATATCGAAGTTTCATTGCATATTAACGCAATATTTTGTCACGTAACGTTACCGATATCACGAGAGCATTCAGTGCGCGAGAATTATCTGAGTTTCCGGTACCTGAGATTTGTCAGTCTCATTGCTGCTCACAATCTTTGACGGCTGCGAGAAATTATTCAACATCGTTCCAAGTGTGAGTTATCTATGCACGCATCTAACCGAATGCATTAATTATCGGATTACAAGCATACCGCCTTCGACTATAATACGATAAATCTTAATTCGATTCAACAATAAAGTTAAGACGACTCTCTTTGTTGTAATAATTTAAACTTATTGTTTAAATTATTACAACAAAGAGAGTCATCGTTATTATACACCGCCTTGGCGAGCGAGCCTTCCATACAAAGTGACACCAGCATCACAAATACATAAACTTTTTTTTGTTGCGCCATCCTTGTGCCGTCCTTGCGTTTCACTCGCATTCGCGGTGCATTTGTACATTGTACATTTATAGTTCGGATGGCTCGAAATAGAAATACCATTTTTTTTCAATGGGATGTTTCATTCCTTAAACATGAGTTAGCGCATGTGTAAAAAAATACATATCTCTTAGATTTTTGTGTTTAACAATATATTTCACAGAGAATCAAATCGGTGCCGAACAATTGAGTGATGTACCTTGTCAGTTATATACAAAATTTGTCACCAAAATGTGAACAAATCGAACAATTTTTTTAAACAAAATGTTTTTAATTTCAATATTACAAAAAATCCTTTTACGTAGCACTTGAGGGATCCTTATAGAGCACAATTATTCGATATATTAGCCTATATCCTATAGCAATTATCCTATATTAGCTTGAATAACGGCCTTCTCGATCTGAAACATTCACACGCACGCTATAATGTAATGCTGTCCATGCCGATGAATGCTGCCACAGCATAGAGGTCCTTAATGACATCACATTAGGATACCGAAATTTGTGACCCTTTCAACTACGCTCCACATAGTAGGCTAAGTGATTTAAATTTGAGCTGTTGGGAGGCCAAAATTCCTTGGATCAAAACATATCGAAATTGTCTGAAAATCAATTTTAAATCAAAATGATTTGCATAAGCCGGTGCACCGTCCTGCTGAAAAACATATGACCTTCTGGACGCCACAGTTTCCATCCACGGCTACATCCATCAGAACGTGCAACGATTGCCCTAGGTTATCCGAAATCAGCACTTTCAACCATTGCGGGGGTCCTTGCGGTGCGTTCTTTCGAGTGACTCTTCCTCGCTGGCATACTGGACAATCTTCGTTGGACTGTTCTAAAGTATATTTTGCCACAACGTCATAAACGATCGATCTCAGGTATTCAAAGAACGAATTATTTCCATTGCTGAGCGCCCAGCGCGAATGCCTTCGATGATCGCGGTTTCGATTATATTCCGCATTTGGTTTCAACATCGCGGCCATTTTGAGAATATGACTGTTTACTAGCATCAAGTTTTCTCGAATGCCAACAACAACCTTTGGCGAACACAATATAGCGAAAAATTTAAATTGAAATTTGTTCGGATTTTAGTGACGCACTCTGTGGTATTTATACAGAATGATTTTAACATATTTCGTCATAAGCAGGTGAATCGAACTGAGTCGAAAAGTCATCTACTATTTTGCAATTTACGCAATAGTTAAAGAAATTAATGTTAGCCGTGCGTCCGCTGGGCCTACTACTGCCGGACGAACAGATCGCATAGCGCGCCGGCCGAGCCGCGAGGAGCGGGGATGACCTGGCAGGCACGCCGTTCGAATTTAGTGATGACTCGCGGCCGTTTTCCTTCCCTTTAGAATGAATTAAATTGAGTTTTCGAAGAGTTCTTGATCATTTCCCAATTTTCAAGATATTATTTCTAAAGCCGAATATCCGCAATCGTTAGCTTGGCGCGCGGGGAGTGGCTGGGAGGCACTAAACTCGAACGGCGCGTCTTTCAAGCCATCCCCGCTCTTCGCGGCCCGGCCGACGCGCTATGTGATCGATGGGAACGATAGGCTGTTCTTCCAGCAGTAGTAGGCCGAGCGAACGCACATATATGTCTATCTTTCAACATTAATTTCTCGTTAACTATTGCGTAAACTGCAAAATGGTAGATGACTTTTCGACTCAGTTCGATTCACTCTACCTGCTCATG